CTCGCTTTTGCGTAAAAATGGATAGGCGTTTTTATTTCCTACCCATAACCAAAGGTAGTATTGTTATTACATTAGGTATATGACACTTTGGGTGTATCCAAAATACGGCTTTGTTTTTTTGCATTTCTGTAAAAATACCTCCTTTGTCACGTGCCAAAATCACGTAACCTTATTTTTTGACCATTTTGATCACTTTGAATTTGAATTTATCTTCAATGATTATAGAGTACCGATTCCTAGGAACAAACCCCTTTCAACGATTTTCTCTTGGCAAATTCGATAGTTTATTGATTTATTTATCAGGTATTATATCTTTCTTTATCAGCAATTCAGTACTGCATTTAAATCTTTTGTACATTAATGTTATAGTATTATTAATGACTTTTAGAAAGTTCCTCGTAAAATATCGCTGGACCCTCGTAAACAGAGTTGACCAGCGCGCCACCTTGTGCTTTCTACATGTACTTGCCGTATATGAATGTTTACCTTCTGTTAAAATTTGCTTTACTATCAAGATACATTCTTTCCCGCTTTTCTCTGTTCTGATTTTCTGTCGAACGTGCCTTCTTCAGGGCCACTTATTTAACCTTCTTTTAGGGGGTAAGATATTCTGCGTCATTTACTTTCCTACGGAGATTGTGGTCTGGGTGTCGTTTCATTAGTTTCCGGATTCTGGGATATTAGACTCCCAAACACCAATTTATGGAGTAGTACCCTTTTATTTCGTACCTTGCATTTAATTGTGTTAGTTTGGGTACTACTCGTCCATTTTCTAATGGGATTTTAACCTCCAGCGGTAAGTTCTCTTTTGTATACGATCGGACTACGTCCATTAATGCTTGTCCTGAAGAAGTCTGTTCAATATCTGATTCTTTTTAGTGGAAAGCCATTGCGGAGAATCATCAAATGTCTTTATGATAATAAAATGTTTCATTACCCTTTTTACTCAATGTCAACTATTGACTGGTCTTCGGCGAACACTCCTATTTTCATTGTATGATGCTACTTCAGTAAATGTAAGATCTCACCGCATCTACACATCGGTATTTATTGTAAGCAGATGCAAAGCATGTCTGAACACCAATCCCTAACACCTTCCAGTAAACCTTCATATTATGCATTATTGATATTCCGATACGTCGTAGCAAATATATTATGTACCTATATTTTATTCATAGGGTACTCCTCTTTATATGTATCGCTACAATAAATCTAGAAGAAAGACAATGCAGCGTACTATTTTCTTCACACAGATACCACCGAACCTCATCAGAAATGTTCAATTGCAAATTCCTGCACGATCAACCCAATCTGGAGCTGGAGACATCGCCAGCGGACAAGCGGAGAAAAAAGTCGCTAACGCATACAAAAATCGCTAAGTCTGGCAACAGTGTTGTTTTGTCCAGATGACACATCGCTCAGTGCCGACTTGGATAGTGATGGGACATTTTATTCATACTGATCGGTGTACGAAAATAACTGAATGACTTGGCGCACTGCAAGTAGGGAAAGTGATTTTTCTCATGTACCAAAAGGAACAGTCAAATAAGAGTTCCATCTGACACGCATGAAACATGTGTCGAAATCAGGTTTAAGTGTTGTATGAAAGTGTTTTATTGATATCGATAAATTTCTAGAACATCCAAAGGTCTGAAAAATCTTCCAAAGATATGAAAATCCCCAGGAAATATATAAGCATAACCAATATTCAAGCGAGTCAAAAAACTTTCGAAAGCGAGTACCGAGAAACACAGGCTCCAGGGGCGCGGGGGAATGAGGAAAATCTGTGACATGTGCGGCAACTTGAAGTGAGATGAGATTATTACTGAGAAAGTGGCCAAAATAGAAGCTACTGAAATCAGCCTTGTACGGTCTAAACTGTTAAATACTACCAAGCCACCCAATCGCGTTTTCTTTCAGTGAAACCAGTGTTGGACTGGTGCATATTCCAAATTCTTATAACAGAACCAATTTATATATTCATGTTTTTTTGGTGCTCATTTTGGACTAGTTTTTCACTCATTGTAGAAACAAACAGAACTTGAAGCAACTCGGTCTGGTGTTGTCTACTGTCTTCTGCTTTGATTTCCATCTTTCAATGTAGCCGTGCTGTTTGCTCGTGGTTTACTATTATTTTTTTTCGATGATTCATCATAGTAACACGGAAAAGGACAAAGAAACGAAAAGTATGCCTCACTGACATTACTGCATGCGACACGACACGATGTTTAGTGTTGTTTTGGAAACAAATTTAGGATCAACAAACCGCGCTAGTTTTATCAGAAGAAAACACTATATCTCTCAGTCACAGAAGCAACGCGAATCTCAGGCTTTCGATTCTCCCATCACTAGTGTGATGAATTGACAATTTGTTCCTCCTTGGATTACTTGAAATAGTCATGTGCCTTCTAGTTCGTTTCATTACGTTGCGTTCAGTTCTAGGAACTGGTTCGTGAACAAACTACTTTATGCAACAATACCACAAAAAATATATGTACAGAAACAGAGCAGATATTCCAGTCTGTCAGTCGAGATAACGTAAAAACGATTCAATTCATATTTTTTAACCATTCCAATGTATTCCACTGATTGCAAATGTATTCTCCCATCACTAGCATTGTGAGACACTAATTTCAAATGTCAATTCTTCTTTGGTCTATTCATCTTCTCCAACGTTACTGTAGTCTATGTTTTGTGGTCACTTGTTGTTTTAAGCTTGTGGTGTTATATGTGAAAAATGGATTTTCCGTATAAAAAGTGCTCCCTCCAAGATCTTTCTTGTACAGAATTACATATTACACTGTCGGGTACACGTTAAATCTGCACTTACCCCCAAATACGTATTTATGTTGAGTATACTATGTACCATCACCGATGGTGCGACTGATTATACACTAAAATCAAAACAAAAAACTGCAACTGCAATTGTATGAATGCATGTTGAAATCTTAAACAGTTTTGGACCAGTGGTGTCAAAATGTCGTTGAGGTATTGGAAAGAAGTATATGAGGGTGTTGAAATGCAACACCTAACAAAAATTTTAGTGAAAAGGCTTTTTCATCTAAGGGTTTGGAAGTGCAAGTTTGCAAATGTAGGATAAATATTACCACACAGTGGGTGATGTTGAGTTAATATAATCACATATGGATTACAAAATTTTTTGCATTTTGAATATAAAAACTAATTCTTCGCACTTTTCTGCATAAAAAAGCTCTCATGTGAGTTTTCCTTATAGTTAGCCGGTTTTGAGATATTTAGATTTTTAAGGTGCGATGCATTTTTAATTATTTATGGGAAAATAATATTTTTTTTTACATTTTCGATTTGGGCATTAAAAGTAATTCAGATGATCGTTTAAATTGTGTTTTTAAACACAACAATAATTCCTAACTCCAAATAAACACAAAAAAACAGAATATTAGTTTGTTTAATTTTCCAATATTATTTTTAACAAATTAGTTGCTCGAAATGTAAACCCCATTGTTCAATACATAATTCACATCTGCGAATGATCGAACGTGGTATAGCATTATTCAAATAAGGCCTTATTTCATTACATGCATTCCTGATTCTGTCTATTAGCATACCTCTTGTGGTTACGGGAGTCTGGTACACTTTTTCTTTTGGAAATCCCCACACAAAGAAATCTAATGGATTTAGGTCAGGGGATCGTGGAGGCCAGGCGACTGGTCCTCCACGGCCGATCCATCTTTCTGAATAATTTTCGTCCAGCCAGTTTCTAAGTATTCTCGCAGCATTTAACCTTGCAGGCAAAAGGTAGGGTCCAACTAGTCGATTACGGTAGATACCAATCCACACGTTCACACTAAATTCATGCTGAAAATTTCTTTCCCGAACTGCATGCGGATTTTCATGCGACCAAATATGTTGATTATGAAAATTTACCACTCCACATCTAGTGAAGCATGACTCATCGGTCCATAAAACGTTACTTAAAAACTCCCTATTATTATCAGTTCTATCAAGAATCCACTGACAAAATGTGATTCTTCGTTCTCCGTCCCCTGGCTGTAGTCCTTGCACAGACGCGCAGAATCATACGGGTAAATCTGCGCTGACGAACATTTATGTTTTGATCCCTTTGGAGATTTCCAAAACCATTTTCAATTATTTGGCGATGCACTCTTACACATACTGAGCGAGTTGGATGTCGTCAGGTTGGAAATCTTCGTGCGTGTTCTCTGGCTGCTTCTGCTGCGTTTCCATTTACAAAGCCATACACAAAATGAATATCCGCTAACTCTTGATTGAAGAATAAAAATGGCATTTTTATAAAAATTACAAACAAAAAACAGGAAAAAGAAACTAAATTTCGTGCATTCACAATTGCAAAAAAACGTTTCAGGTTTCAACAGACAACAAAACTAATTGTCAACTAATTGACGTTTAACCTTATTCTGCTTTCAATTTCAAAAATATTTGCAGGCACAGCCTACTTCTGAAAATTATCGAGATACTGACTTTTTAACGTTATTTTATCATAAATAATTAAAAATGCATCGAACCTTAAAAATCGAAATATCTCAAAAACGGCTAACTATAACGAAAATTCACAAGATAGCTTTTTTATGTTTAAAAGTGGGAAGAATCAGCTTTTTTATTCAAAAAGCAAAAAATTGTATCAAGAATAAAATTTCGGTCATTTTAATACACTACAGGTACCGTAGAGAGCGCTACAGTAAAACTATGCCCATGGTTCGTTTTGTCGTACCAAAAAACCCTGGTATACCAATTTTCACTGTTATACATCAAATATTGTTCGAAATATTTAAAAAAAAAACTATTTTAGAAAGTATTTCGGAAGCCACGCATTTTTCGACCCATGTTTATATAGACTTTATGCATTAATTTTAAAAGTTCTATCGAATCTTAAAGTTATGCACCAATAAACTGAAACACCCTGTATAAGAGCCTTATGTCGTCGCCAAGAATATTTTCGATATTTAGCAGGATAAATATTCAGGCAATATTCTCCCTAGGCTCCAGGATGACGTCATAGATAGAATCCCCAACGAAGTCTGATCACGGAGACGTAGTATACGGCGGGCGGCTTGGAGACATCAGCCGGCTGAGAAATGTGATGCAGGGAATCCCCGGCTCTAAATTTACGTATATGTAGTCCGGGCCTATTACAAAGGAGTTAGTGAAATTTAGTGTGGCGCGCCTAAGTAGATTCGGGAAACACCGTCGCAGGGTTTATTAGAATAAGCGGCTGTGCAGCGGGGGGATTAAGGCTATATGCAAGGCGGAATAGTACGGTCGTTCGTGAATTGTATTTGATGAACCTGAGGTCAATGAATAAATGAATAAATGAGAGAAAAAATGACGTCTAAGGCCCGTATCGTTAGTCGTCCCTACAATATTGTAGGCGCCTTTATGGCCTCCTTGATTGTTATAGTCTTCTACTTCTCCGTGTCAGCGCTCTATTTTGAGGTTATGTCACAAACATCTATTTGCATCAAATTGTGCTTGCTTTTGAGTTATATCATGTTTTATCAGCCTGAAATTTCCTACAATTTAAAAAGAAAACATATGTTTACAATAGGACAGCGCTGGCGCTGACACGGGACAAGTGTAGTCTAGAAATTTTTGAAGGAGAGAAAGGAGTATGACAATCAAGGAGGCCATAAACGCGCGCTACAATTGTAGGGACGACTGACGATACGGGCCTAAAACGTATCGATGCCTTCTGCGCCTCTACCGAGTGTTTAAGATTCGACCATCACCATTGGGATCTCGGAAACGGTAGGAGATACGAAGTCGCTTAACTAGGGCCAAAGTTGCGTATTTAGGTGTCTAACAAAAAGCCACTTGGAAAGTTTCAAAATTCTTCCGGGAAAACCGAGTTTTGCCAAAGCCGTTTTAGTTTATTTGTCGTAAGAGGTAAAAACAGATTGCACAGTAACATTGCCACTCTGTTCCGTGATAAGATGCCATAATCAGAATTTGCCCTACAGCATCAACTATATTTTTTCTTATGGACGCCATATTGGATGTTTGCACAGATGAATAGTGCTCTTCATTATGGTTCCAAAAATATATAACTAGCAAAGTAGTGGTATAAGCTTTTGGTAAAAGAACCGCTCAGCCATGAAAGCTGTCAATTGTTGTTGCCTGAACACCAAAATGCTGGCTTAATGTTGTGTGGAATGCAAATTTGCTTTCTGCAACATATTTGCTCTAAAATGAGGTGTTTAAAATATTCTTATAGCATAGTTATACAACACCTTATAGGGCAAATTTTTAACTGTTGCATAAACGTTTATACAACTATTTTATACGGCATATTTGCACGTTAGTCAAAATGGTTGTATTGTGGCATCCATGATAACGTTTATAAAACCAACTGTTGTTTACTTGTAGTAACTGTTAAAGGCTGTACGTATGCTAAATATGTTGGTATACAACTTTACTTTACTGACTTTCTGCTGTCATATTTTTGTTAAAATGGCATAACCAATGTTTTAAGACAAACAACGCATGCATATTGGTTCAAAAGGTTTTATCAACTGTTCAAACAGAAGATCTAGATCTGGTACAAATTCTGGGTAAATCATTCGACTCTGTCGATATTTCATTTCAAACATTTGTCAAATTGTTGTATAACACCTGCAGGCAACACCAAAATATTCTAATACACTAAAGACAACATTGACGATGCCATGATTATACACAATCACCCGCCATATTGGGCAAACATTTCTTCCTCTATTTAATATTATATAATTATGTTTCAGTTCGAAATTACAGATATAAAGTGATAAACATTAGTGTAATTGTGTCTAAATATAGGATTTGTGGAAGATTTAGCGCAGATAAGTACAGTTTTCGATCTTAAGAATCTAGACATACTTTTGATCATTATCAAAAATGAATCAGATACGAAGCCCGTAAGAATTGCGTAACTACTTTGCACGATAATCACAATAAAATTTGCTGCGCAAGTAATTCAATAGCCCTATATCACAGTATAGAAGTTTATCATATAACTATGTATGAAATTCACAATGGCCGATAGGTAAGTAAACAAGATGACTGAAATGTGTTAGTTATATATTCTTCACTTCGTCTATACTATACAATACATCAGAAATAGTTTGGTTGCAATAAAGTAGAATCACGTAACAGAATAGTTGTATAGTTGACAAAAACTGAATCTTGCACTGACGCAAATGTCCTATAGCGGCTGCAAGAGGCTTACACTTTTGTTGTATAACTGTTACCTGCAGCCCTTATACAACCTCTTAAATGACTGAAGTGTCCTATTAGGCGTGCCCATTCCGCTTGTATAGCTGTTCTAAGACGGTTTTGCTAATGTTCTTACAGTATACAATGCTGTGTAAGAAATACTGTATAATCATTCTTGCAACTCTAATAGGAGTGATAATTGTTAGTTGGGACATTGACATTGCCAATGCTTGGTTATTTAAAAAAAAACAATTTATATTAATATTTCACTTTGATGACATTCGGCACACCACTGATTTCATTAAAATCAAATGCAATGGTCGCCTTTGTCAGTTGAGTATCTTTTTTCTCGAACAATGTCTCACTGTCTCCTTCGTACAGTTTGATGTTGCCATAACTTGCAAATAGGTTTAAGGACTTGTGTAGTCAAGAATTTCAAATCAATGTCATCATCACCAATGTTGTTTCTTCTACTTCTGACCTTTGAAAGGATATGTACTTGAAGATTGTGATGAGGGTGTGCTGGATTTAACTCTTCCTCCATGAATATATCCTTTTCAAATTCCTTCAAAAACCCAGATTGATAAAACTTCTAGCGTAGAGCTTTTTATCTTCAATCGGCTTCAAATAATTACTCTTATGTTTATCTTCCTAGAGTGCACTGTTTTCGCAAGAATAAAAATACAACAAATTAGATAATTAAAGCTTTTTTTCAATAAATGTTCAAAAAGACCACCATCTTGACGGATACAGGTGCAGCGTCTTTTTGATAAAAAAAAACATATTTCCTAAAATTTGTTGTGGCTTGATTTATTATTTGGAAAAATGATGCCACTAATCCCCTGTATCTCCGCCACTGGTGCACTTTTGAAGGTGGTAATTTTAGTTCCTTCCAGTTGACGGTTTTTAAAATACAAAAAAATTGTATTTTTAAACTTCAACACCCCGTATCTTTTTGATGAAAATATGATACACGGAAGACCCCACTTGAAATGCGGTCCTTTGTATGATGTTTCATTTTTGGTCACGACTTGTGAATCACCCTGTATAATATGAATAAAAGTGAGAGTATAGACCTTTGCGATAGACCGGAAGAAATTTTTAGATGAAATCATATCAATCAGATCTGAGATCGTTTTTGCTAAAGGCTTTGAATCATATGAACAGAAGAATTAGAAGCACCAAAAAATGTACACTTAGCAACTGAGAGGCGATGATTTGTGGTATCGAGTACCTTCGGTAAGTCTAGCAAAACTAATAATGTGATCGTTTGCTGATCCCAGGCATTATTGGTTAAGTCTAGTATCGCACCTGCTTCCTCGAAAGCCGCATTGTATAATAATAATAATAAGTTTATTCACCTAACATACAAATATAACTAAAACCAACATAGGTATACGTGAATATACTGAATTTACCCCCAGAAGAATAAATTCTTGTGCGTCGGTATTAACTTACATTTTTACGCAAATATACATATATATAAATATATATATATGTATATTTCAAAATGATTTGCCATTTATAAAAAATAATTCCGTCCTAATCGAACCTCATCAGTCCAGTTTTTTATTCGTCGACTATGTGTTCCCTTCACCGTTGTTTAAAAACGATTTCGGCAACAATTTCGCCGACTTACTCCAGACGATGAAGACATAGATCTTCGAAAGCTTGAGAGTTTAAGTTATAAGAGTGTACTTTTGCAATACTTTGCCCTCTACCCAAAGAAATTAAACGATATCTTCTCCTAACAGTTAAGGCAATTAGCTATGAATACTATATATACAAGGTGACTTTGAAGTTGAGTCATTAATTTTCAGATAATGATTGTAGAAGGAAGATAAACCAAAATATGGGTGTAAAAATTAAAAAAAATTAAAAAAAAATGTTTACCTTGTTTTATAAAGTATCCTCCCGACAAGTATTTCAGTGCGGACCTGTATTTGATCGTGAGGTCCCCTGTGAGGTCTTAAGTCACCTGATTCACGAGCCCGTTGTACCACATTAACAAAGGCACGAGGGGTTGGTTGCACTCGATTGGGAAACCGATCCGCATAAACATGTGCCATTTTTTATTTCGTTTGAGCCACGCAACAGATACCACTATTCACTGTCACTGACTGTATACAAATGAATGAAATAATTGTAAAAATATCGTTCCAAATTCTTTCGCTTTTTTGCGTCCGATGCGATGAACCGATACGGCGGATTATATCCGTTGTCGCCAAACACGAGCACAATATTATTATTGAGACATGGCGGTACTCAAACTTCCAAAGGGCTATAACTTTGTTACTTTAATTTTACCAGAAAAATGGTAAAGGAAAAAAACATTTCTTTTGATCAGATCTACTCACTGTTAAAATAAATGACTCAACTTCGAAGTCACCCTGTATATATAAATTACATCCAGAGAGATGTGCTTTGGCATCGCATATTAACAACACAGGTCACTCTATGAATTATGGCAGTGTTGAGGTTCTTGATAAAGAAAAAAAGACTCTCAAAACGTTTATTTTTAGAAATGTCCCACATTTTCATGACAGATCATTGCATGAATAAAAAGGCTGATGTTAAGCAGCTCAGTGTCATTTATTCCTACCTGTTGAATTGCGAAAAGCTAGAACGGCTACATATCCAAATTGAAGCAACATCTTCACAAAATTGGTATACATTTTCTCACTGACATTTTTAATATAAACTCACATAACCCATCTTTTCAAGGTTGTATCAGTATCACACATTCTTACACTCATATGAACTACACATGTTTTTCCAAAGCAAGTTAATTCAGCATTTTAGTAATTTTGGGTGGAGGTTTACCGAGCGTCCCTCGTATACTTCATACCCAA